TTGATTGCCTCCTGCAGGAGCCCCGACTAGGGAAAAGCCTGCAGCTAGGGTACGTGCCCTTGACCAGAATCAAACCCAGAATCCTTTGGTTCGAAAGCCGACACTCTATCCACTGAGCCAAACCAGCTAGGGCTATAAATTTTCTTTAAAATCTTAAAAATAGTTATGATTGTTTCCTTATAGTGGCTAATCAAATCCCTTAAATAAAAATTTATTAACAACATATTTATATATTTTTGTACTCTTGACATCCCATGCCTTCCTTCTGAGATACTCTCTCTTCTCAAGGAAGTACATATCTTTCAGTAGTTCTTTAGTTGAGGACTTCAAGTGATTATATATATATATATATATATTTATATATATATATATATATATTCCCTTTTCTCATTTTTGAAATTATAAAGATCAGCAAACTGTAAAGAACATCAAACAATAAAGGGAATTAAAATCTAATTTTCAGCAATACAGGAGACAGATAAATGCTTTCAACTCAAAACTATGTGCACCTGTGGCCAAAGGCAGCAGCAGCACAGAAAGCTCTTCAGGAAGAGCTCCGTGGAAGAGGAGTAGTCACAGGGTCTATGAGTGGCAGAACATGAAGCAACCCATTTGTAAGTGAGGAGAAGACACTGGCTGGGTCCCTTGGCAGTGCTCAGTGAAGGGACCAAGCCCTCTTGCTTGAACTTACATGGGTTGGGGGAGGCACGCATATTTAAAAACATCGTATTTGAAGGATAGGGCCCACCTTTCTTTCTTTCTTTCTTTCTTTCTTTCTTTCTTTCTTTCTTTCTTTCTTTAAAAAAATATGTTTTATTGATTTTTTACAGAGAGGAACAGAGAGAGATAGAGAGCTAGAAATGTTGATGAGAGAGAAACATTGACCAGCTGCCTCTTGCACACCCCCTATCAGGGATGTGCCCGCAACCAATGTACATGCCCTTGACCAGAATTGAACCTGGGACCCTTCAGTCTGCAGACAGATGCTCTACCACTGAGTCAAACCAGTTCCAGCAGGGCCCATCTTTCTACAAACAGGAAAGAGAACCCTTGAGCTGCACACCATAGGCGGCTATTCTTGTCCCTCCATTACCCAGTCTCAACAGGAAATTTCTGCAAATAACTGATAGAGAAAAATTTAACTCACTCAAACATAAGTTAAAAAAGCAACTAATAGAATATTTAACTAGAGATAGTTTATACTTTTAAACATAAAAATAGGATGAATGATTTTTATAGAAAACACTAATCAGAAATATATTTCCACGAATTGAAGCAGAACATATACCCAAAGATACCACTTAAAAGTATGAAGCAATTGATACTAAAAACACTGTAAAGTAGAAAATGCAACAATTCAGGGATGGAAATAAGAATTAACAGAACTCAGAAAAGAAATAGAAGTAAAAGAAAAATCACAACAGGAATGAAGACAAAAGAAGTACAACAGAGGAACAGATACTACAGAAAGCACAGTAATCTAGAAGATAAAAATGACATAAGTAAACATGATGAAATAAATTAAGAAAGTGATTAGGAGATAAAGAGCACTAAGAGGTACAGAATACAGGCAACAGCTTGCCAACATACACACAATGGAAGTCCCTGAGGGGGAAACCGTGGCTCTAAGTGCGGCTGTGAAAGATCTGGGTAGGATGCATGCAGCAGCTTTTTTAAGGGCTGCGATAGTAGCAGTAGCAGATGGATTGAGGGAAAAGACCAGAATGCAAACGGGGCAGTACTATTTTCCCCCTCCAGTAATTCCCAAGCTGACTTCAAGGCAGCCGAAAGCCCAGAAGTGTTTATCAGCATGGACAGAGGGGGCTTCTGGGAAACTCTCAGGTCTGGCTTAAAAAGTGGGAACGACATAGAGTGGGAACCTACAACTCTGAAGGCATGCCATCCTCTACAATCAGAAGAGGTGTAGTCCCAAGAAAATGGGGAAAACCCCAATTGTTTTTTTTCTCTCTCTCTGTGTCCTCTTACCACTTGAATTCAGATGAGGGCACAGTTGCAGTAAGTAAAGAGCAGAGTAGGATAAGTTAAACCCCTACTTTGAGGATCAAAAAGGGAGAAGCCAGGAAACAGGGAAGCACTGGAGATATCAGAGAGATGGAGCTCAGGAAAGCAAGCCCAAAATGTTGTTTATGAGCTCCTGAGCTCGCTCCTAAATTGCACATGTAAAGATCGTATCAAAACAGACTACAAGCCAAAACCGGTTTGGCTCAGTGGATAGAGCGTCGGTCTGTGGACTGAAGGGTCCCAGGTTCGATTCTGGTCAAGGGCATGTACATTGGTTGCGGGCACATCCCCAGTAGGGGGTGTGCAGGAGGCAGCTAGTCGATGTTTCTCTCTCATGGATGTTTCTAACTGTCTATCCCTCTCCCTTCCTCTCTGTAAAAACTCAATAAAATATATTACCCCCCCTCCCCCAACACACACACACACACACACACACACACACACACACACAAAACAAAACAAAACAAAACAACAAAAAAACCAGACTTCCGAAGACTTTGAAACTGGAATTGAGACAAGCCACCACCCAGGTTCCAGACTTCCCACTGGGAAGGCCTGGAAAACAAAACTGGCACTAAAACCACCACCACAGATGACTGGTAGAAATTTGCTACCTAAACCCAACTAGCCCAACAGCCTGATAAAAAATAAATATCAGCATTGTCTAACAAGATTCTCATACTGCTACATTCAAAATACCCAAATATAACCCAACATCCTTGTGCAGTGGCCACCTGTGCCTGAGAAGCACCCTCATTTAGTGATTTCCATAGAAGGGGACAAAAGGCATAATGATTGCCATTTGGACACACAGCTGCACTAAACATTAGTTGGACAACCATGCCATACACTTTCACCCCTCTAAGCCTTTATATGGTCTAGTCCAGTGGTTCTCAACCTTTCTAATGCCTCGACCCTTTAATACAGTTCCTCATGTTGTAAGGAACTGTATTAAAGGGTCGAGGCATTAGAAAGGTTGAGAACCACTGGACTAGTCCTTTTTCCTGGAGTGAAAAATGTCCTTTACTCTTCCCTGCCTAGAAAACCCGTACATGTTCTTTAAACCCAGCACAAAGACTAAGCAGCTCCCTCCCTTCCCAGTCCTCACTGCCCTCACTGCCCAACAACCTCGATTCAAACATTTAAGATGCTGTTTGACACTGCTTGTCTATGCATTTGTCTCCTCAGACAGGCAGCAAGCTCCCAAGGGATGGATTCAGAAGATTCTCATTGCGGCATTCCCACTATGAAACACATTCATTCATGCATTCAGTCAGTCACTCAGCAAATATTCATTAAATGTCCACTGTGTATCAGTCCCTGTACTCGCCACTGGGATGCACATGTGAACAAGCCAGACAGGCCTCTGATCTTTCTCAGACATTAAGGTTTCCACATACACAAAGCAGGGGATATAAACTACCCCTCTATAATAACTCCAAGAAGCACTTCAAACTTCCTTTGTCAAAAGCAGGTTTATCATATTCCCCAGTCCTCCCACTCCTTATAAGTCCCGCATCTCAGTGAATGACGCCATCCTATAGCTGCTTGCCCGAGCCAAGAACCAGGCATCATACTGGATCAAGCTTTCTGCCTCTCCCTCTCTCACATTCTTCTCTATCAACACGAGCTGAAAATGGAGTCTTCCACTTCCTTAGCATCTATTTTACTCTCCTCCCACTCTTTTCCTGCTAACGCTGGCTTGTTGCAGGCCCTTGTAATCTCTCCCTAGCACACCCCATGTGTCTCCTCATGGATCTCCTGTTCCACATCACTCACCTCTTCCTGGTCCCAGCCTCATGAGTTTCCTTGGAATTTACCAGCTCTCTGAAACTCTTGCTGCCTATTTGCCCAGGATGTCTCCCCGCTCCCAATCCTCCTCTGCTCCCTTTGCCTATCAAATTTCAAGACTCAGTTCAAGTTCTTTCCCTGAGAAGCCTCTTCTGTTTCCTCAGAGAAACCCACCCCTCCTTGCTTTGGGCCCCACAACACCCTGTACAGAATTTTTTCTTTATAGTAACATACCGGTGCATTTATTTTTTTTATATTTATCTCCACACTAGACTAGAAACACCTTAAGAGCAAAATCTCTGTTTATATCACTTGTTACCTCATTACCCGGTGTTCAATAAACACTTTTAAAAAATTGATTTTAGCTGAAACAGGTTTGGCTCAGTGGATAGAGCTTCGGCCTGAGGACCGAAGGGTCCCCGGTTCGATTCCGGTCGGGGGCATGTACTTTGGTTGCGGGCACATTCCCAGTAGGGGGTGTGCAAGAGGCAGCTGATCAATGATTCTCTCTCTTGATGTTTCTAACTCTCTATCCCTCTCTCTCCTCTCTGTGAAAAATCAATAAAATATATTTTTTAAAAATTTGATTTTAGAGAGGAAGGGAATTCATTCACTTTTTAAATGAATTCAGTCCTATTTAAAAATAATTTTTATTTTTCAATTACAATTGACATGTAATATATTAGTTTCAGTTACACAACATATTGATTAGATATTAATATAACTTATAAGGTAGTCACCCTGCTGAGCCTAGTACCTACTTGACACCATATATAATTATTACCCATGTTATTGACTATATTAGCCATACTGTACCTTACATCCCTGTGACTGTTTTATAACTGGCAATTTGCACATCTTAATCCTTTCCCTATTATCACTCATCCCCCCAACCTCCTCCCATCTGGCAACCATCAGAATGTTCTTTATCTATGAGTTTGTTTCTGTTTTGTTTATTTATTTAATAGATTTTTATTGGTGATAGTATTACAGATATCTTCCATTCCCCCTCTCCACTAAGCCTCTATCCACCCCCCTAGATCTTCACTTCCCTATAGCCCATGTCCATGGGCTATGCATATACAATAAGTACAAAAGTTCTTTGGTTTCTTCCTCCTTCTGGCCTGGCGTATATAGAATTTATATACCTCATTGGCTACGATACTGCCACTGCGCAAAGCTAGAATTTAAACCTTCTCTCAGTAGTAGAGCTAAAGAAGACGATAACCAACCAGTGGTCATCCATCTGAAATTGTAATTGGCTCACTAATCCAGGACAAAGTTAGAGATCAGAACTCAAGCATAATTCTCCTTTCCCTCACACTGCTACAGAGATGTTTGACATAAAGGCTTGGGCTGAGTATGTTGTGCAATGGGCTGCAAAGGATCCATACGGCTTCCTTACAATAGTTATTTTGGCCCTTACTCCATTGTTTCTAGCAAGTGCTGTACTGTCCTGGAAACTGGCCAAGATGATTGAGGCCAGGGAAAAGGAGCAAAAGAAAAAACAAAAACGCCAAGAAAATATTGCAAAAGCTAAATGACTGAAAAAGGATTGAAGGAATGAACAGGCTCTGCAACCTGAGGAAACTCATTAGGGAAATGATGCAGCTTTGAAGGACCCTGTAAGGTTTATTTTCTGGATTTATGATAATATTTAATAAACGAAGCCGGAGCATATGGAAGAATCATGTTAGTTCTGACCGCTACTGTAGCAACTTTTAGGCTTCTGTGTAGAAGTCTGTTGACATTCATTATGCCAAAAATGCTTTATAACCTACAGTATTTAGTCATTTGCCATTTTGCGGCTTTCTACCTCCTGTGGAGAAAAAATGACTTTAGGTTATGAACTCTTCAAATACAGGCTAAAAAAGTGTTCTGTACTGAACAAAGGAAACTAAGAATGTAAAAATGAGAGCTTTCCTGAGGTGAAAAATACGTTTTGGCTTAAAAAGAGATACCGCATATTAATAAAATCTTTTGTCATTATTGCTTATATCTTAGCATCATTTCTGGCTTTCTCAAACCAAAATATTATTAATCAGTGAGTACTTCATTTTCTACATTTTCCTCATCCTAGCCTTTGAGAGACTGGTAATTATCAGACCTTCTGCCTTTTTAAAAATCTAATTTTATGAAAAATTCATCTTGATTGTATAAAGTACCACCTACTAACAATTTTGTACGTATGAACTTAGATGACTTGTTGACTAGAGTAACACTGTGATTTCCTTTACAGTGTGATTTAAAGCTTGCAGTAAAAATGCCAACCCCTGAAGTACGTTGGAACCAGTTTATTCTTGTGCTAAGAAGAAATGTGAAGTAGTTAAAATGTCTTATATGATAATTTGCTGATTATATGAATACCACTTTTAACTTTTCCAATTTTTGAACTCATGTAGTGATGTTCTATAATTTTTTGATCAAACAAGTTCACAGTGAAAACATTTCAATTTTGTTTTCAAGGAACTCCTAAAAAAAAAGAAAAAGTTCTTTGGTCTGTCTCTTCTCGTCCTCCCAGACCCACACACAAGCTGAGGGCTGCCGACGCCATCTCGCAGGGTGGGCTGCGCAGACCTTTGGCGCCAGGCCCGCGCCTACGAACGGGACTTGTAAGGCTTGGAAGAGGAGGGGGCGCGCTACCGGGGAAACCACGCGTGCGCGTCGGCCGCGGCGGCGGAGGGGTGGGGTCCGCTGGGCGTGCGCGTGCTCGGCGGGAGCCCGGCTGTACCTGGAGGAGGTGGATGGAGTCGGGTTGAAGAGCGCCTGCGCGCGAGGGGTACGGCGCCGGGAGAGGGGCTCCCGAGCACGCGCGCGGCGACGAGACTTTGGGAACTCTCGCGAGATCTTTTGGTGCTATCTCTCTCCTGTTCTGCACCACAGAAGCTGTTCATCTCCCCCCACCTTCTCGCTCCCCTAAGTGCGGGCTACCACCCGTGGAGGATTCTGTGGACATGGACGTGAGTTCTCTGAGGCCCTTTTTCGATAACTATCGGGGGCCGGAGGGAGGCCCTGCTGGGCCTAGTGGCTGTGAGTGGGGGGCGGGAGGGGGCGGGGCGGGTGTGCGCCGAGGCCGGGCTGTGGAAGGGGGCGAGGCAGGCTTGAGGCCTGAGGGAGTGGGAAGCTAATGGCAGGGCCTGGCCGCCTCAGGGGTGGAGAACCAGGAGCGGTGAGCACTCTGGGATGGGAAGGAGTGGTGGCCTGCAGCTTGGGGGTGAGCGGTCCGAGACCCAAAGTCTGGGGCTCCTTGGAACCGACTTGCTGAGGGCTCAGCATTGCTGGGTAAACTCGAGAGCTCCAGAGGTGTGTGAGGGCGCAGGCTTTTGATTCTCTGCCAGTGTCTTTGGTGCAGGAGGTTGTGTGGGCTCTTGGTGTGAGGCGTAGGCCTTCTTTCAGGAGGAGAGGATGGATGGAGGCTGGCCTTGCCCTCCGGGCCTCAGGAATTCTAGAGCAGCGTTTTTCAACCGCTGTTCCGCGGCACACTGCCTGGTGTGCCGTAGGTGCAGACAAGACAAGAATTTTACAATTTTTCACTATTTTGTTTACTTAATATTTCATAATAAAGTAATTATAAAATACTTTCTTTGTGTTTATTTGATTCCTATTCAAGAGAATTACTTTATATATAGTCAATATAGGCACAGAGTTAAATTTTTTAACATTTTCTAATGGTGGTGTGCCTCGTGATTTTTTTCATGAAACAAGTGTGCCTTTGCCCAAAAAAAGGTTGAAAAACACTGTTAGAGCCCAGACGGCCCCAGCCCCTCGGCGGGTTCCAGGGGGAGGGGAGGCGCAGGCGCTGGGATCACGAGGTTGGGGGAAGGAAGGGTGTGGGGGCTATATCCGGGGCTCACTGGTGTCTTGTCACCCCCCGAGCCCGGGATCCTGGGGCTTCAATGGGGCTGTTGGGCGGGAAATGGTAGATGAAATGGTTGGTAGCCCGGAGATGGTGGAGGCAGCCAGAGGTGGGGATTGCCCACTGGGCAGGTGAAGATAGTGATGCTCAGAACCCAAGTGACCTAAGGAAGGTTGCACTTGCAGATAAATAAGATCCAAACCACGATTCTTGACTCTAGAGCTGGCGCATTATAAATGACATTTCTTTATAATGTGCGGCATTGTGCCAACAGCTTTTTATTTATTTATTTTTTTTAAGATGAGAAATATGCTCAGGTTCAATTTGGGTCAAGAAGACTCGGTACTATTACTATACTATATACCAAGGTTTTGAGATTGCTCCTCTTCCCGGAACACAGTACATAGCATACTAAGGGGAGAGCAGGCTTGGTTTTCAGTAAACTTGTTGAAGCCCTTTCTTTGTGTCAGTCAGGCTTTAAGTAACAGCAAATTCTGCCCCAAGTTTATTCTGCCCCGGATTTTTGTTAATTGAGCATTAACATTTAAACATCTCTGTACTAGTAACTATTAGAGTGCAATTAAATGGAATCATTTAAATTAATTAAAATTTTACTCTGATGGTACTTAAAACAATCTGCTTATCAGTGAAATAGCTAGTATGCACTGTACATTAGTGCTTTTATTTCTAGCCATTTTGAATAGTTGGGTTTCTGATCAATTGATATCAAGATATTTTTTGCTGACCCTTTTCATTGGAAATATTCCCTAGGATATGTCAACATATTGTTAAAGTAACAGAAATGATGTACATTAAATATGTCAGAAATTATGTTTAAGGCAAGAATAGACATATCCTAGGGATAGTATAATAAAAGCCTGGATGGATGTTATTTGTAGGCATTTGTGTTCAAGAAATCTAGGAAGAGAGGCCTCCTGGTAGAATAGTGAAAAATCACAAGTTAATTATTTCCTTTTTGGTTACCCACACTGAAGTTTCAGTATTATTTTTTCTCCATGTTATAGTTGCTTTTTTTCTTCATTTACAGGTTGTGAACTAAAGGCCGACAAAGATTATCACTTTAAAGTGGATAATGATGGAAGTGAGCTCCAATTATCTTTACAAACGGTACTTAAACTTTTCAAAATAAACTGCTAAACCTTTCTCGATTTCAGCCTCAGTTTCTATTCATGTGGCTTACTATTTAATTTTTATTATAATAGTATTTTTATAACTGAGTATTGTATATACTGATTTCCTGTATACCTGTGATACAAAACTTGGCCTTTTTTTCACTCCTTTGGTAATCATATAAAAGTCTGCTGTTCTGCTTTTCATATTCATATACTTAAGTTGCCTTATAAAGTCCTTTAGGGTAGTGGTAAATCTTCTTTGTCTCCTGCAGAGACTAGCCCATAGCTTGCTGTTCAACTTGTAGGTGGCCAATAAATGTTAGATAATCATACTGTAGATAGGTGATGACATGTACAACTATAGGGTGTCTCCCCAAAATGTATACTCACACTTTAAATATTATAAAGGTGGTGCTTATTAAAATGCATTTCATTTTCAAAATTGAGCTGTCAGCTGTTAAAGTGTGTATGCAGTTTTGGGGGCACCCTGAATGTCATCAAATGCATTTTTATGCATTTGTTCAAATTTATTGAATATGAGAAATTGTCAAAGTCCCATAAACTTGAAGACAACATTGTGCACAAATTAGTTTTCCCATCAGTGGTAACAGTGAAGTTTATAAGTAACTTTTTTTTTTTTTTTAAACATAAGAACTCTTGGGGGGATTGCATTATACAGAAACTTAAGTTGAAGTGCTGTTTTTCTGTTCACAGGTCAGGTTAGGGGCTGGTGCAAAGGATGCAAAGTGGACAGCACTTGGTATGTTATTTTTATTATTTTACGTAGCTACTTGTCCCATCTGGACTACTGTCTTTATAGTAGATTCAAAGGGGAATCTAGTAGTTATATTACTAATTTGTAACTGGAAACATCTGTTACTTTGCATATAAAACCTAGTAATGAGTATTAGGCCCCCCAGTTTCTTTTTGTAAAATAGTTTGTTTGCTTTTTGCCTTGTTTAAGTAGTAGAATCTGTTTTTAAATACTGATTACTGTATATTAATGCCCTTTTTTCCCTGAGTTCTTGCTTCTGGGTTGAATTTTAGTAGTGGCTAATAAATTTATTTTAGCTGTGGAGGAAGATGCAGTCGGAAGATGACGAGGAGGAGGAGGATGTGAAACCCTTAAATATGTCTGGAAGGCGTTCTGCCCCTGGAGATGGTAGCAAGGTTCCGCAGGTACAGATGTGATTTATTACAGGTATCTTTTTCTGGTTTTTGGTTTGAGCATTTGCTCATGAGGTTTTTTTTTTTTTTTTTTTTTTTTTAATTGTTTTTCTTTTTAAAGAAAAAAGTAAAACTTGCTGCTGCTAAAGATATTGAGGACGACGATGATGAGGAGGAGGATGATGAAGAGTAAGTATGGCTCTGGCTGGTTTGGCTCAGTGGATAGAGTGTTGGCCTGTGGACTCACGGGCCCAGATTTGATTCAGGTCAAGGGCATTTATCTTGGTTGTGGGTACATCCCCAGTAGGGGGTGTGCAGGAGGCGGCTGATCGATGTTTCTCTCTCATCGGTGTGTCTGGCTCTCTCCGTCTCCCTTCCTCTCTGTAAAAAATCAAT